GGGAAAACTTCATGAGGCAAAAATGTAATTGTGTTCTTTGCAATCCTAAGGAAATGCAACCTTACATACTTAAAACGCAACTTACCCGCAGCAGTGCGTACATGCGTAGGCGGACACACCATGGTATGCGACACAAGTTTGATGAAACCGTCGGCCACGTACGTCGCAACTAATGTTAGCAACCTGCTCGGAGATCCCCGAGGCGTCCTCCTCCTGCTTACACAGAGCGCAAACCGCGCTGTCCGCATCTTCAGCATCCGTCACCCTTATTGCATAACATGTATATGTGCAGTAACGAGCGGATGTGCCCCTTTTCAGGGTACGGAATTTCAATTCCTGTGACATCATGCTGGTACCCCACCTCCACCGCACGGGCTATCAAAGGTGGTTTTCGTTTGTGGCGCATGCGATCATTGCAATTAACGTGCGAAACCAGCCCCTGCCACCTCCAACGGGAGCGCTCCGCTAACTTGCGTTTCCGGTGAATTTCTGCTGGTCGAAGTGCCGTTGCCCGTCCACATCCGGGTAGCGGCATCGGAGGATGACGCGTACACTGCTTGGAAGCTAGGCAGCTCCTCTCAGGATAACCGTTGTAATTTTTCAGTCTTCAATGGTCGGGCGAATACGTCCACCTTACTGTAAGTAGCCAACAGCTCACGCATGCATACCATTACGCCCGTTGTGCGGTAGAACTCCTCCGTGCCCATACTCAATACGTGCGCCTCCAAATCAGCAAACATATCCCGAGTGATGCGAATTTTGGCGGCCCGGTCAATGACTCCATCACTACGGCATCCCATCCAGCCACCGTCACAGTTCCCTCCCTGTCCTCCGAAAGGGCCGGCACTGCTACAGTTTCCGCTGACAGCACTCAACGGCAACCTCGTCGTACGCATGAAGGCTTGCCACCTGCATAAGGTGGGCACATGGAATGTGCCACTGACGATTAAATGGACCTCCGCATGCACTGCAATTCCCAATGAGGACAGGTTGCATGCCCAGGCACTCGTAATCCACCAGCCAATATCCACCGTCTGGGTTCACACTGCGAATGCGAATTCGGAGACCGTGCTGCACGTACTGCCGCGAAGAGTATGACGACATCCTCCTCAAAATCACCCGCGCACTGCTTACACCCTGCTCAATATCGCACATTCCAAGCTGATCTCTCGCGGGCAATGTTTCCCTTCCCTCCAAAATGACAGTGCAAAGCTGCGCTATCACCTGAAAAAGGTGCAACAGAGTTGCCCGCCCACTCAAACTTTCTTTCAAATACTTATTTTCATTCTCAACGCGCTTGGTGCTGTCAAAACCGAGTAATGCCAAGTGGCCCATCAAATGCGCCAACCAGCTAAGCCGCCATGAGATCCACGTGAGGCCAAGGTATTAGGGGCATTCCTCGCTGCGCAACGCCATACCTTTCCATAATCGTGGGTGTACAGCAACGAGCGCAACATGTTGAATAGAGCCCTCGTATCCTCCGTGTTACAGAAAGGAAGATGTGAACAACGCCGCTGGATGTCCCGCATGATGTGTACCGGGCAGAATACGATGTTGGTAGTGGGATACGCATTGCGAAACACATTCACTTGCGTAGCGCACTTGTCCATCATCAACGTTCGAGCACCGGCAACCCCGGGGGCCAGGGCTAGCAAATCTCACTGCGTCTTGGTAACTAGCTTCCGTCTCATTTGGCAAAAGCGCATAAAAGAAGCTCATACCAAGAACATCAACATCCACAAACATGCAATGCTGTAGGATGTAACACCCGTAATTGATCTGATATGTGGAGTCCGTCAAAATGACCTCACCTTATTGGCCCACCAACTGAAGCATACGAGTGGGCACGAAACAGGGGTACCGAATCTCATTTCCCTCATGCATAATTTTAAGCCGACCATTTCTTCGCAACAGCTGCGTAACCTTTTCCACTTCCGTGACAAAAGCGTTCCGCTGACGCCACCGTATGGCATACAAATCGCGCCTTGTTAAACGAATGTTATATTGCAGACGTACAAATGCACGCATCTCCTGCTTCCGACGAAACATTTTCATCAAGTTAAGCACCATGCTTTCCTGATCCGCTGGTAGCCTCCGATTTTTCGCATACAGCCAAGGCTTCCCCGTTTGAAAACTGTGCGAGTGCCACAGACACGCGTTTCTAACCTCGTAACATTCGCCCTTAAACGTCGCTGAAAAGCGAGCAGGGCAATTGTAACAGCGGTACCTCTAAAAATCTTTTCATCACACAGATGCAATGCATTTACCGATTTCCAGCCTCATTGCTGAGCTTGCTATGCACGCATACAAACAGAATATACCAGTACTGGCATCCTTCTGGTAGCACTTGTCTAGTCTCCCTCTGGTACGCCTTCGTAGTTATAACGTTACGACGAATAAACGATGTCGCCGTTTCAAGCTGAAACACTCTCAGACCGTCATTTATCGATGAGTAGTCCAGTTAAGGACCATTGAGTACACCTCGGAATACAAACGAGTCATCCAAATTGGCTGTTACGCTTGAAGCGGAAAAATGATTAAACACCGTACCGCAGTTAAACCACTTAAGATATAGATTCCATAACCAACTCTTAACATTTGAACAAGCGCACTAAATTAATAATAAACATTCACGTGCGTCCAACGGCCCAAATTTACATCCCACTGTAAAGAGTGATCGAAACTAGTTTGGCGCCTGGTTGAATTTAAATCGTTGATCAGACGGGAAGGGCTAATATTTGTCACGGCGGGAAAGGGTTCCGCTACCATTGTCTTCGTTAACATCCAAGTTAGTTTGAGTGGCGGCAGAGTATCTTCCTAATTTTTTGGTAATAAGGTATGGGAAATAGAAGATAATACTATAAGCATTTGCTTCGTAAAAACGTTTTAAATTAAAGTGATGACTGCAAGTGTAGTTGAAGTTCACGGCATAAGCGAAAACAGGCAAATAGTAAATAAAAGTGGTGTGCACGTTTGTTTAATGGAGCAAACAAGCGTTAATGTATTTTTTCATGTACGTAAAGTTTATGCTTGCAGTAACATACTCGCTTGGATAAAGGGTATACAAATCTCTTGTCGGATTATTGTAACTTTTTTATTTTTTAAAATCGCGATAAATGAATTCGAAATTTACAACTAATAAATTCTACCAACTACCGTTTTTTGTACATACTTAAGCACAAGGCGACCTATACACATCTCCTTCAAACCTTGTTATAAAAGCATCCTGATGTACCGGAACACAAGTTCCCCCAGGCCAATTTTTCATGTCAAATATTAGCCACCCTCTGCTCTCTGAGGACACATTTTCTGTGTGCCTTTCAGAAAGACACTCCTGGGCAATTATTGAAGAAGGACAAAAACCTGAAGCGGACAGTGGACTGTAACTTTTTTTCACCCCTTCCTATGTAACTGATTCTTTCTTATAGAGCCTACATGTTGCTTAATAGACGTTCCGTCTCAATCTCTGGACTTCTCCCTTGCCTGTATGCTATAATTGGCGACCCTGCCAGGATCAAGAGCTAACTGCAAAGCCAATTAAACCGTCTGGTGATGAAATTCAGCCGCGGACCTCCGATCCGGAGGTAAGGATTGCTTATGCTTTGGAATCCTTGTCGGACGCTATGCGGAAGATGACAACAAACCTGACACACCCCCGTTACCACCTCCGGAAAAGCTTTTCCTAGGCACGCCATATCTCCGATGGGAGAAACAAGTGCAAATGTACGTCAAGCACTTTCCAGCCCAACAACGTGGTACTGTTATCATGGGCCTGCTAGCAGGCGAGGCATTTGACAAAGTTATGGATAGTAAAGTGTTAGATGGGGAAATCACCACGGAAACCTTCGCTGCCCTTCGCCGTATTTTAGATCGGCCTGGCCTGCCCGACGAACTGCGCAAAGTTTCCCGTGCCCTGTATCAAAGACCGGGAGAAGACGTGGAAACATTCGTTCTCGAACTGCGGGGGATGGCGGTAAATGCCTACACAGATGAAACGCCGGAACAACAGGACGAGCGAGTGTTAGAGCAGTTGCTCGAGGGCATCCAGACGCCCTCGGTAAAAAGAGAGTTCCGTTTACGACGCCCTACGTATCTTCAGGCAGCCCTGCTATGAGTAGCTCTACCGTGAATGCGAATGCGGACGTTGTACATGTGACAGCGGGAATGAAAATGAACTTCACACGGTCACTCTCACCTTGAGGATTTCGGCTGCCCCGGCTTGGCGGGGAATTTCTTCTTGGTGGGGGAGGACGGGGCCTTCGAAAGTTCGATTGTACTAGACGTCGCAAGTAATCCCCCCGATACGGAAAGTGATTCTAATTTCTTCGGCCTGGTGGCTGGAATCTAGCGGGACTGTATCGCTTCAGCGCGCAGCATGGTTCCATGGGGCCCATGGAGCGTCGACTTGCTCTAATTGATCTGCCACTGTTAAGGCTGACTGAAGACACGTAGGTCGTCGTAAACGGAACTCTCTTTTTACCGAGGGCGTCTGGATGCCCTCGAGCAACTGCTCTAACACTCGCTCGTCCTGTTGTTCCGGCGTTTCATCTGTGTAGGCGTTTACCGCCATCCTCCGCAATTCGAGAACGAATGTTTCCACGTTTTCTCCCGGTCTTTGATACAGGGCATGGGAAACTGCGCAGTTCGTCGGGTAGGCCAGGCCGATCTAAGATACGGCGAAGGACAGCGAAGGTTTCCGTGGTGATTTCCCTATCTGACACTTTACTATCCATAACTTTGTCAAATGCCTCGCCTGCTAGCAGGCCCATGATAACAGTACCACGTTGTTGGGCTAAAAAGTGCTTGACGTACATTTGCACTTGTTTCTCCCATCGGAGTGTTGTCTGCCGAGGTGTTGCCAACCGAGTATTTGAAGTATCTCAAGGAAGAAGCTTATTTTGTGGACCGGTGAAGAACCTGAAGACTTTGACATTTCGACTCCCAAAATTTACGAACCCGTCGAATCCATAGACGCACTACGTGATCGCCCTCATCACTTTATGACAAGCATGAACGAGAATATACGTGGCGCAAACATGGATCTGGTGTTTTTCAAAGATGCCATCACTCATTTGGTCAAAGTTTCACGTATCATTCGGTCTAGAGGAAATGCTCTACTTGTCGGAGTTTGCGGATCTGGGAAAGGATCTCTCACGCGCCTCGCTTCTTACATCGCGGATTATCAGGTGTTTCAGATTGTTCTCACCAGATCTTACAATTCGACTGATCTACTCGAAGATATGAAAAATTTGTACCGCACCGCCGGACTGGAAGATGAAGCCGACCACTATATCGTTGGAGCTATTTACATTTCCACAGAAGACTTCAAGACCGTCATTCGAAGTAACTTAATGCAGCTGAAACAGACTTACGTCAAAGCGTTTATTGAGCGATACATTAGCCCTGTCGAAACCATTGGGAACACATTGGAAGAATGGGATAGGAACCTGCAGCGCAACATTAACAATCTGGATGACATTGCTCTTATTATGGACTCTGCGTGTAATTCGGGAGGAGATTGACACAGATTGTGATCTTATTCAGTGTGAAGAGGCCAACGCTCTGTTGTGCGAATTCGATCTACCCTACCCAAAGGATATCGGCGACCGCGTGGAATCTGTTAGCTGCGCCTTCCTGCGCATCAAGGAACGTGTCGTTACTACAACGGATCACATTTTGTCCACCCAAGGTGGATACAGAAACGGACTATTGGATAGTATCAAAGAGTTGAGAGCAGCAACACAAATACTTGAGGATGATTATGACGAGAAAGGACCCATGGCACCTGGACTTCCGCCTCAGGAGGCTCTGGATAAACAGATTCAGTTCAAGAATCGGTACGATAATCTGATCCGGAAAATAAATACCGCGTTGAAAGGCGAATTGTTGTTTGGTCTACCACCGTCCGACTATAGCCGCGTGCAGCAAATCGGTAAAGAACTGGACCTACTTCAACGCCTGTATGGATTATACGATGTCAACCGAACGGTTTCCAGCTATTATGAGATTGTGTGGCAGGAAGCGTATATGGAGAAAATCGCAGCCGATTTACAGGAATTTCAAAACAAATACATGAGGTTGTCTAAATGCTTACTGGCCTATCGCAGTACGGTCTACTCTTCTATAGGACAAACGCCGTCGTTTATGGGGACGGGTAGAGAAGTTCGGTTGCCCTCGGATGTCCGATTACCGAGATCACAACAGGTGTACCCGTCGGTCGTTGAATACGTCAGTAAACTCCTTGACTTCGTTCGACGCACACACGAAGCAGCACGCATCTATTTGGCGAACGCTCAACGACGACAGAAGGAATACTACGACAAGAAGGTCTTCGGTGTCCCGTTGAAAGCAGGCGACCTCGTATATTTGCATCAGGCACCGATATCCGGAATACCAGCGAAGCTGCATCGGGAGTGGGCTGGCCCCTACGTGGTAGACCGAATAGTATCTGATCTGACTTGTGTGATTAGGGACCAAAAGAACGCCGTTGGGCCGCACATGGTCGAACACTTTAATCGGCTTAAGCCTTTTCATATCGAATCTGAGCATTCGGATGAGGAGCACCACAATGAGCCACCAACAGAAGTAGCCACCGAAGTTGAAGTACCAGCTCAAGGGGGCTTTGGTGTGGCAATGTGGACGTTGCCTACATAGAAGGGATGCGGTGTAAAGAGTGATCAAAACTAGTTTGGCGCGTGGTTGAATTTAAATCGTTGCTCTGACGACACCTTTTCCGTCTACCTTTCAGAAAAACACTCCTGCGCAATTATTGAAGAAGGACAAAAACCTGAAGCGAACAGTTGACTGAAACTTTTTTCACCCCTTCCTATGTAACTGATTCTTTCTTATAGGGCCTACGTGTTGCGTAATAGACGTTCCGTCTCATTCTCTGGACTTCTCCCTTGCCTGTATGCTATACAACTACATCCAACCGTGCGTACCAAAATCACAGTCGAAAGATCATTGATCGCAATTGGCGGATCCGACGCTCCGATAAAATACTTTTTCAGGTTTCTTGTTTCGTCTACGCGTGTTGTGCTGTTGGTCGTCGTAGGTTGGCTAGCCTCATCCATTGGTCATCAGATGTAACGCCTCGCCTTATTGTGCCGACTGTTTCGTCTTCCGATCAGATTGTGCGACTGATGGCCTACCGAGGATCGTGCTTTACCTAAGGTCAGCTCCAGCATTCCTTATTTATAGACAGAGTTCTTTTATGTAGTTAAGCCCTTTCCGTTTGGCCTTTCCACTGCAAACTCATCTAATGCGTGCGGCTGGCGTGGTAATCCGGCTACGATTACGTGTCAGTCGGAGTTTAGCTGGTAGTCTCGGTGCACAAATGGAGAAGTAAAGAATGAAATGATCGCTGTTACATATAGGAGGCTTAACATTATTGGCTGACAAGCAACCATACTTGGTCATCTCAACATCTCAGGAAGAGGGACGTTCTCGCCACGACTACTAATTGGAAAATTGACGTGCTGCAGTAGGGCGTTTTCCTGTATCCATTGTACTAAGTCATCATCCATGGAGTCCGCCTTATTGAGAGCATACTCCCAGTCGGCATATGGTAGGTTCAGGTCGCCTACGATCACAAAACTTGGCGCAGAAGGCGCAGACTGTTTTTGTCAATCACTAAGCTCCTTGTCCTCTTTCCGCGTTGAGGGCGGGCTGCGATAAACACAAACACTTAATTCACCTTTGCGCTGCACCCTTGGAAAACAAGTAGTAACCTGAACATTGCGTGCATATGGTAAACGAAACTACCCAGTGGCTGTAGTGACTCCTTATAAGCAAGTGTACTCCACCCCCATTCGGATACGCATGGCGGTTTATTTTGCACCCAGGCGTGTGGTACACTAACTGCTGTACTGTGCGTAACCAATGAGGAGGGTTCGTGACGAGTTGTGAGCGTGTTGATGTGGCCGCTGTATCGAGACTTGGCTTTCTCCAAACGATCTTATTAGCGACTTGCTTGTAGACTTTACGAGCTTAAGAGCTGATAGGCCTGGGCATCAAGCCTTTGGAGGAGTCTGCTTGCTTATAAAGTGCAAATATAAACTGGGGGCTCATTCTTACCTAAGTTCCATAAATGTTAAGGTGGTATCCAGCTTTTTAAGTGTGGGATAGGTATTGGGATTATAGTATATGTCTACCGTAGCCCATCCTCCACGCGAGAAGACAAAGATCTCGGTACGTTACTAAGACTGGCGGCTATGGCCGCGCTTAATTTCCTGATCGTCGGTAAAATAAACCTACCGTATGTGGATTGGTAGCATGCTGTAAACAGGGCGGACATCCTGGAGAAGGAATTGGTAGATTGGATGCACGAAAACGCTTTCAAGCAATATGTCAATGTTTCGCCATTGTAATGAGACTGGACCTTACCGTGGTGCGATGGTTTGCGTGCCTCAACGGATCATTGAGCTATGCTGTGTGGTGCTTTTTTCACCCTCAGAGGCATTCATAAAAGCTTGATGAATGGTTAGAGGCCAGACAAACTCGGTCTCCTGGTCCTCCAACTTAGGGCTTGGAATGAGGTGGCTCCTTATTCCTTAAAACGGACACCTTGTAGCCCAACGCCCAACCCGCTGCCTTGCGGTCCGGTTTTTAAAACAAAAGCTTTGGTTGCGAACTCTAATCGTTCTCCTGTCTAGGCCTGGGCAACGTGACGGTATCCCGCTTACACAATACAATGCATTTCTCTTCAGACAGTTTCTTGATGCTCTGGCCACCGCAGAGGATAATCAACGGTGCCCTATCTGCTGCATTGAGCAGGGTGGATAGGGGTTTGGATGCTACTGCTCAAGCCTTCCCATCTTATCCCCTTTTGTACGGTTTCTCTCTCTTACCGTCCCGTTCCAGCTCCACTTTTATCTTCCCTGTTTTCAACCCCCAATTCTTGGCCCTCCCCATCTTGTTTTGCTAGGCTTTTACCTTCTGGTTTCAGCTCACTTGTGAACGCGGAGCGTCATTCCTGTCCTATCGACAAGCTCATGTCCAGCCAAGCCCAGTTCATCGACTTCCATTTGAAGCCCTCGATCATCCTTCAGATTGGCATGCCTCAATGTACACCCATTGTTACAGATCTGTCAACAGGCAGCACTTGCACCAACATTAGTGACCCTCGATTGATATCTGCTGCTTATCGGAGACCCGCCTGCAAGACTCGAGCTCTGTGCACACTTTGCGATCCCCTTCAGGTGACACCAGCGGCACTTTCTCATTACGCCTATCCGGTGACGATGCAGCTTCGAGCACCGGCCAAGTTGGTCTTGGTATTGCCCTGAGTCCGTTTACTAAAGCTACTCTGGTTGATTAGATTCCAATTAGTAGCCGGATGTGTGCGATCCGATTGGCTGGCTCGTTCAAATCTTCGAAGTCGCGTGTGACTAACAGGTGTCTATACATCATCTCGGCCTATGCACCCACGATGATTCGGTAAAAGACGACTTCTATCGCCAGTTGAACGAGCTCCATAACCATAGAAGAAGCCGGGGCACTGTTGTGCTGGCTGAGGATCTGAACGTTCAAGTTGGAAAATTATCCACTGATGAACTCCATCTGGGCGGCCAACATGGTGTAGGCTCCCGTAATGATAACAGTGAACGGTTACTTCATTGATGTGAAGATGCTCGCTAATTTTTTGCGAGCACTAATTTCCGACACAGCAGTCGCCGGAGGGTAACTTGACGACCACCAGCTATGGACGCAAATCGATCACGTTGCGATAAGTTACCGATGGAGAGACTGCGTCCAGAACTGTCGCTGGATTCGGAGCACATGTATAAACACTGACCATGCACTTGTATGTGCTGACCTGCGGATGCGTTTTGGCGGACGCTCAAGACGACCTTGTGAGCGCATTGACACCAGCCAACTGGCGAAGCCAGCTCTTCTGAATGCCTGTCAAAGTGCGCTGTCATACGAGTTGGATAAACGCTCACTGGATGCAATTGAAGCTCACTGGTCTCATACTCACCGGTCCTTACTGAATACTGTATTTTGGAGCAAGTAAAAATTAATTCTGTACAACTCCATCGGGTGATAATCAAAAACATTTAAAAAAATAAATAAACACGTCCGGTGGTTATCCTGAGATGGTTCAGCAACTCCTTTTGTGGCACACAAAATGCTTGTTCACACAGTGAATCACAAGTGGGTGATATCGTTGTCAAGTGGCAACCGTTCTCTGAAACGTATGTCAGCGAAGTGTAAATCTAACAAAGATTTGAATTTCTGCACAGATTCGGCCTCGACGACGTGTTCTGGCAGACTGCTCCAGGCGTGCACAACCCTCCGCTCGAAACACAGGGGGTGTGGGATTTTCTTCAAATCAGGTACCACGAGTTTGTA